AGAATGGGGACCAGTAAGACAGTGGTAGAATGGAGAGAAGAAGAAAAAAGTAAAGCGGGACATGAGGCAGGTGGGTCTGATGGGAGTGGAATGAGCAAATAATTGATTCAAGATGTGAGGGTTTTGGTGTTAGCAAGAGGTTAACAGCTGTTCTGAACCTAGACCAGTCCTCACAAAGTTTGAATAGAGAGCCACTTTTGGGAGCCATACTTTGTTCAATTGTCTGTTTTTGTTGTCTGCAGTTTTAACCCCAGATGTCCACATCCTCAAGTAGCTGGGTGTGCTATAGGGCAAGGCAATATATTTGCAATATCGATATATATATCTATATATATATATATATATAGATATATATAACAATATGGCAAGAATATGCAAAATCACATCTAAATAAATAATGTTCAGTGCATTAAAATGATTATACTGTAGTTTTTAACTGCAATTTGTTTAGAATCAATAATTCACTGAAAGTCAGTAGCAGCTTATCTTGAGTTATGTCCAAGCCCTAGCCAAACTATTGATTGGACTGCGCCAGTAAATAACTATTAATATCTATGTTGACCCTGGCAGCCTATGGATTAAGGCACTAACCACAACAACCCTAATTTGCGTCTGGCTGGGACTTTTGTTTGATAATTTAAAAAATTATATTTGGTTATAAGAAACTGATCTTATTTGTACGAATTAAAAATGTTGAAATGGCCAAAACACTTTTAAAAACATGATACCTCAGACAACAGGGGTCTGATTTTGTTGAATCATACTTTTGGTATTAAACCACAACTGAATGGAAATGAAGAAGGAAATGGAAAACCCTTCTTTTCAACTAAATTCTCCTGTTTGGTCTCTTTAACTCAAGAAACTGTACACTGTATGAAAATATTACATATATATTCTGTATCTACTCATTCCAACACTTCATTGAGCCTATATGATGCATCGCTGAATGAATGATTGAAATACAAGGCTTTCTTTCTTGGTTCATCATTAAATTTAAGACAAGACATCTTGTGAATCATTTTGTACACCTGCCATGGTTGCTATGTTTGATTGATATTTAAAATAAAGTTGTGTGGGTTTAAATAATGCTGCTAACACAAAATTCACAGTTTAAGAAAATAAATTGGGATTTGTTATGTCAGGGTGGGTGGGTAATTTATCAGCGTCCGCCAGGGTTTGTGATGTTATTATGGTGTTGCAGCTGTGACAGTTCTTGATAGAAATACACATAGCATTATCAAGACTGAATAAGCATTGCAACATCATTAAAATACACATACACACACACACACACACAATTCATTTATCTGGAGTCAACAGATTTTCTCAAAATAACAACACAGCAAGAGATTAGGTTGTGATGTTAAATCACAATATCTGTGGAATTTAAGACTTTCCTTCTCATTTTGAGTTAAGCACATCAGTGTGATTGACAACATCTGAATGACTGGCACTCTGCTTGGCCACATACATCAGTCCCGTCATTATTTGCTGAAACAGCACAGAGTGGGTGGTGAATGGTGACTGTCACTCATTTGAAGTCAGAAAAAATGAAGCTGCATAGCTCATTTTATTTCATTTTGGCTTGTAAGTAATACAGTGCTCATTTCCACAGTATAAAAATATGGGCGAATAAATCGAATCCTGTCATAATAAGGGAGTTGAATGATGTATGGGAGCATATGTGCTCAATGTAACGCTATACTAGAACCAGAGGGGGAAGTTATTCTTTCTGATTTAGGTTTGTAATGGACAGCTCTTTTTGATTTAATGATTCTGCTGTCAGATTGCACTCTGTGGGCGACATTTTCATCCTAATGGTCTTGATAGGCTTATTCAATACTATTCAGTCGCTAATTATGTCTGCATTTCATCTTCTTACCTAATAGAGTGCAATTATGACTGCTGATGCCAACATGCAGCTGTGAAAATGTTATTTTATTCGGCGTCATGAGATAATTAGTAAAAGGAATGAATGGGGTGCACGTAAATGTCAGCTTAGTATTGCATAATATTATCCCAATTAGTTTGCGAAATAGTTATCATAAATATAATCAACCATTGTTCTTGAGGAATATGGAAATAAGATCTCTTTATTACTGTAAACTTTCTGTCATAAATTGGCAAAAAGGTCGGTTTGTAGCTGATTTCCCTCTATCCATCTCTGGTTTTCACTAACTTTTTGATAGCAGGAGCAGCTGGAAAGTATTTGACACTGAAGGTGTTTTCAATCTTGCTGTAGTTCTTCTTCTCAAACTCCAATAATAGACCTGTATTTTAACATGGAGTTTGCACTGTGATTCCAGTGCACCTGCAGAGGAGCTTGATGAATAGGGGGATGCGCAGTAGGTGACAGTGTTTGTGTAGCAGGGAGTGGATAATAATGTCAGGAGCTGGCAGAGAAGGAAGAGGAGGAGGTTTTGAGTGAGGTGAAAGAGGAGGAGGACAGAGATGAAGATTGTTTCCGTAACTCTAAGCTGCCAAGTTGTAATTCACAGTGATCCTGGACGGCTACATTTATCCTGCTTAATTACTCACCTGCAGTCATAAGATGGCTCTTTCCAGAATTAATTGTGTGTGTATGTGTGTTTGTGCATGTGTGTTTGTTTGAATAATGAGGCTTAAGTGGATCTGTGTGTTGTAATGAGCTTTGTGGAATGATGAGTGGAACATGGTTGTTGGGGTAAATAGTTTGATAGTTTGCAGCATGACAAAAAGTCAGTAAAATGTGGAAACTTTCCTGTTTCTCTACAGCTGCTACTATCAAATAAAGGCAAAAATAATAATAATGATCTTAACAAAATAAAAAAGGACGTGGAACTAATAAAAAGGAGGTGAATCTTCCTGTTGATTTACATACTGTAGGTACAGCTGGTTTTATACTGTAGTCAGTATGAGAACGCACTGCAATCTTTCAAAGATATCTAACTATCTAAATACCAAAAAGACACAGTCAAGGAGATGCTGTAACTGAAGAGAGGAACTGTAATCCAGCCCTCCTATTTGTATACAGTCGGTATAGTTTAGACACTCTTTCTGCATTCTCCCAGATGAACACAGCAGTGTGTCTCTTTGTGCGTAAACAATGTCACGATGCTGGTGGGATCTTTGATTTGAATGTAATCTTAAATATTGACACACACACAGTCGGTGTAGTGAGAGGGTCGTTCCTTACAGTGTATTCTCATGTGTATGTGTGCGGGTTGCCAGCTGAGCAGTACTCTTGCTACAGTCTGTGCACTGCAGAAAACACTCACCAGTGCTTCTGTAACAACAAACACTATAGCATCTAGTGAAGCAGTTAAAGCGGCAGCGTTGTTCGTGAGTTTTTGTGGCTTTAAAGGCCACCTTTGATGGAGAGCCTATATTCGATTTGTGTTAGTGGAATTCGTCCTCTGCAGTGTGGCTTTTCTGGATTGTTATGAAGCTGCCAGTTTGAGTGAACGTTTCCCACAGTCATCGCACTGGGTTGTTTTCTGAATGTATTCTGGAGTAAATCTGTAATTTATTTGATTTACTCTGAATAGGCTCCCACAGACAAAGTAGTGGTGACTCCTGTCACCACTGTGGAGGAGTTGCACTCACAGCACAACTCTGTGTGACTACAACTTTGTGGCAACTTTATCTTTGATGGTACGTGGGAACTCGACATCCTTACATCAGTGCACAGCAACATCTCTTGGAACAGACAAAGCAGCGATAAGGTTTCTCTCTAGCCAATCATAACACCCAGTTACATTTTTGCCTTAGAGGAGGGATTTGGTTTCTAACTCATACGTTTGTGTTTGGAGTGCTTCAGATTAAATTTGCTGGTGAAACAGAAATCACAGCCAACTCAGTGTTAAACCATCAGTCCCTGAGTTAGCCCTCATTATGATTAGCCAAATGCCCCTCAGCAGTGGAATAAAGCAGTACATCTAAACTTTTTTTAATTTGAACCCCTGCCTTAGATGTAGGAGTAGGTGTAATTACAATTGTATTTTACAACTGGCAAACCTGTTGGTAGTGGTTCAACGTTCCCCAAACACCCTTAGTGTCTGAGTAACACCCACCCACCTACACAAGTTTGAAGTTGGCTGTTCATTTAGCGTTGGCCTGAGATGCTGAACTGCTGATGAGTTGCCTTGGCAACTTTGTTCCTAAAATAATCACAGAATCTATTAAATTGGCATGGTGTAAGCAGATTCTGTCGTCGAATTGCCTACACTGGCTCTTTTGGGGAGCTTTTGTGATGAAGAGTTGAATCTTCAACCCATTTGTTGTTCATAATAAACTGAAATAAACATGTTTTAGAAAAAGGTGTAACTGCATTTCCTCAGTATATTATATATTTTTTTCCTGTATAATATATTAGTGTTACATACTAGAACAAGTGGCGGTTTATATTCAGCAGAAATGATTTTATGAGCGGTGATAGATTTCCCTCCAGCAAGGAACAGAACATTTTAGAGAATTAAAAATTAAATCCCAACTTCATGTTACATTTTTTTGCTCTTTTCTTATCACCCATAACGCCCACTAAAGGGGTGATTGTGGACCTATCTGTGTATCTAATCTGTGTTTTTTTCCACTGCGTGCTTTGTAGCATAAAATGATTTTTGGTCTTTCCAGTGACACAAATAAAGCAGTGCAAATCATTTATCTCAGTTCATCATAAATTAATTCTAATCCAGGTGTAATTTTTGTTGAAGGCGGCACTTCCTTGTGTGCAGAATCCAAATTGAAACTGAAACTGTTCTCTGTGTAAGTGATGATTATGAATGGTCAAAGCTGCCAATCCAGATATCGTAAAGCTCCGTACAAACAGAGGAGACAAACAATAGGCATATTTTGTTGTTGTTTTTATGCAGAAAATCAAATGTAACATATTGCCAGTATGATGTATTGTGTGTGAAAACCACTAACCAAGCCAATTTTGCTTCATTCAGAACATCCATAAAGCATAGTGGGATCTCCCAGTCATGTACCTAATTAGTGTGTATACCTGCTTCTATCTCCAGGTGAACACAGCCATGCATGAAGCCAAGCTGGTGGAGGAGTGTGATGAGCTAGTGGAGATCATCCGCCAGAGAAAACAGGTCATTGCTGTGAAGATCAAAGAGTCCAAGGTAGTATTCCCAGGATGTCTTTATACTTTTTCAATTTCAGGTCCAGCTCTAGAGAGGTTTAAATACAAGTATATTTAAATTCAGTTGAAACTATAATGATGGATAGTTTCAGCAAGTTAAAGTTACTTTGACTGATTAAAGGGGCAAACAGTCTTGAAACTGTATTGCCTTAAAGAATTGTAATAGTTAGCATGTTAACAAGGGGTTGACTAGAGTTAGCAACTACTTACATCCAGCAGACATGGAGCAACTGTATCATCCCATTGTAGTTGTATTTCTGGTCACCTGATGAATGTAAATCATGTAATTTTCTGACCTTTTAGCTCTAGTTTTGTCTCCACCAACTCATACAGAAAACACATAGTAGGTCATGAGCTTGGTGTTTGCACATGTGCCTTAAAACTAAAACAATGAGCTAAAAGTGTCTAAACAGCTCCATAGAGCTGCACAGACTGAGAATAATCATCTGTGGATTTGCAAGCGACCGCACACAATCATTCGATTTGGTGTACATATTATATTATATTGTAGGTTAATTTGGAGTTTATTGAATTCAGCTTACACTGTGCATCAATTCAAACTGTTTCGTCTCACTGCCGTTTCAAGCAGCCAAATTTGAAATTCATCTTTTCACTCAGCTCTGGGTCACAGTCCACTGCTAAAGAAACAGTGGTTTTGCACAAAAGAATGAATATGAGAGCAGCAGTGCTGACAGAAAATATTCGTCCAGGTCTGTCAGTGTTGTTTTTCTATGAGGCTGCCTCTGTAGTTGCTTGCTTGTTTACCCAAACACACATCACATGGATGCTTTAGGAGAAATGGAAGAGACAAGTGAGGAAAAAGAGAGAGAACAGCAACGGCCTCTCCCACATGTAGGTAGCCAACCTGAATGTGTGTGGAGAGAATCTGTGATAGCAGCAAAGACTGTTGTGAACCTCTCGCTGCTGTTTCAAAGAGAGTCCAGGACTGTGCAGACATCTGTATGTATGTGTGTGTGTTGTGTTGTGTGTGTGTTATGTGTTTGTCGTGTGTGTTGTGGTTTCTGTGTGTGTTTGTGTGTGGACACGTGCCCATGTGTATCTGGGTGGTTGTCTCCCCATGAGCGCCTAGGGTTTCAGGACAGAGGCAAACTCTGAATCTCGCCCTCCCAGAGGTGAAGTTTTAAGTGCTTGTGGAAGATCCTCTGAGGCAGCAAAAGAGCTTTGTCGAGAGATGAAAGATTTCCAAACACTGAACACAAGGACGGAAGTAGGTGTGTGTGTTGGTGTGTGTGTGTGAGAGTGTGTCTGCGGTGATTGCAGACAAAGAGCAAGGCTTGTTCTCATGAGAGTCTGGGTCTGTAAAAGGCTGTCTAGCAGAGGCTAGCGGAGTAAAATGCAGGTTACGGATGTAAGGGGGAAGAACACCACAAAAAATAAAACCAGAGGAGCACTTGATTGATGTCGCTGCAGGTGATGTATTTTTATATTTTAGGCTGTTTACGGGTCAAGAAAGACTAATGAAATGCACCCTGAGTAATTCAAATAATCACGGTTGTGTTAAAATGGATGTTTGCCTGAGAGGAGATGAGAGGAGAGACCATTAAAGGTCAGGTAAACGTAGGTCGTTTTAGACATTTCAACACACGACTCATGCTGTGTTTTTCTGTTAAGGACAGTGTAGGAAAGGGAAATGCTCAGAGGTGACTGCAACAGAATAACAGGATTATGCAGGCGTGATTATGGTGCTGTGCAAGGTGCTCCCATTCTCTCTCTCTCACCTACTCTTAACAAGCTCAGCCTCTCTCTCTAAGGAGACTCCGCAGTCATGCCTAATCTCTCCCTGCCCAAACAAAACACACTATTCCCATGTTCTGGTGTGTACAAGAGGGTGTTTACCATGTGACTGTGTTTGTCTTCCATCCTGAAAACTATTTTAACTCCCTTTTGAGCGATACAGTTTAGGTTTAACAACTCAAATCTGTTTTGAGGTTTTACAGAATAACTTAATGTCTAAAAACAGCCATTATGTCATTTTTAGCTTCACTTATTACAAGTTATGGCTGGTAAAAGGTGTGCTTAGCAGAAAAACAACAGCATTAGGCTGTAAACAATCGAAATCAATTTACCTGACAAAAACCTGGCTATGTGTAGATTGTGAGTGCTGTCTGTCAGAAGGAATGACAGAAGTGTGAAACATTGTTACGCTGCCAAAGACGTCTTAGGGTTGACGTAGATGGTTGAATGTACAAAGCATGTGACTTTGATATACAGCTCACTTGATTCCATTTATAGGTATTAAAATCTGGATACTAGCAGCACTACATTTCAATAATTAACACCTCATATCTTGTTGGTTGAGTCCGTACAGAAACTAAAATATAAAAGCAACAATTTGCCATTTTACATGTGGTTGTGTACTGGGCTATTTTTAGGCCAGTGTCATTTAAACACTTTAGTTTTAAACAAACTATTTATAACATGTCATTAGTGACACTCAGACGGTACAGACATGAAAGTGGTTTCAATCTTCTCATGTAGTTCAAGAAAGCCAAAGCATTTTCAAACCAAATTAGCCAGATAGCTTAGTTAGCCACTGCTCATAATTTAGCTAACAATGAAGATAGCTTCTTGTCAAGCTAATAGAGTTACCAAAATGCAGACATTTTCTGACACTCCTGTGCTTCCTGTTTCTATCCTAGGATTATAAGAGAAGGATGAGTCAGACTTGTCACACACTGTAACATTGTTTCAGGTTTAGCTGCAAAACTGAGAGCACACGTAGCTGGGATGTAAAGAGTCTGCAAATTATTAAAATTGAATGAGAGAGGTTATTATATATAGTGAGCACAGAACAACTTAGCTTACAATTACATTCTACAAAATCTAATTTAGCTATCCCTATTTCATTTTGTGCTCAGAATGTCCCATCAAAGTGACCCCCAAAAATAATTCCATAATTTTGTCATTTAGCAGTGCATAAGATCTAGTACACTAGTGGACTTTTATATTTCAGCTTTAGACAAGACAGTTCTTCACAGGATGTGAGAACACACACACAAACTCACACACCGACTCTGCCATATTGTCCATTATTGAGAGAGAGAGAGTAATCATCTCTAAAATTGTTGTTTGCCGCATATGTTGCCAAATAATACCCCATCCATTAAACCCGTCTCGCTTGTCCTGTCTGTGCGGTCAACAACCTGCTCAAATGTCGTTTATAGTGAGAACAGATTATGGTGGACTTGGTGGAAGAGCAGCTAAGACGTCAAATGAAAACTCCATTAAGTCGGCAGCTTAGAGAGCAGGAGCAGCTTTCCCAGTGAGCACACATTAGATACTGTTTTGATTCTTTGAGAGCGTTTGATGACAAGCTCTTAACCGATTGCTACCCAGTGTGTTTTTTTTTTTTTCAGAATTCTTATTTGCATAATTCAAACCCTGCGAACAAAAATGTGTTGCTGAAAATATAGATGACTAATCCACTGAGGCACTCATCATTTCAAATGTTTCTGCTCTTTTTATTTTTATTTAGAGTTTAGACATTCAAGTTATCAGCTGTTACTGAAAGCATACTGTTTTCAGCCAAAAAGTGACTTTTACTTTACTGTTTGCCATTTAGAAGTTCACAGAGGTTTCATTTAATCATCATTGCTTAGACACACTCCATGCTAAAGCCGATGTTTTATTCTACAGCTCACCTTTCGCTGGCAGTCCCGAGGCTCACAAGCAGCCTGTTATTTCCTGTTGAGAGTTTCATCAAACTAAGTTCATTTGAGGAATCAGGATGTGAGCCGTAATGAAGATAAATGGGTTACTTTAATTTCAAATCAGCACAGAATGGCTTCCTTATGGTCAGTCGGAAATTATATTACGGTACGCCCATTGATAAATTACAGTCAAAACGGACTGCATTACAAAACCTTGTGTGTGCCTTTGTGTACCGAGAATCTGAACCCTGATCTGACTGACTGACCTGCCTCTTGATGCACACAGGATGGTTGTTTGAGATGAAGATGAATCAAGCTGATATGGGCCATTCCTTTCTTGTTTGTTTTTTAGGGCATGGTAATCCTCCAGCTGCCTGTGCTGGTACATTTGAAACATGCATCAAGTGTATAGAGATACATATATACATAAGGCCGCATTGTAACTGTGGAGTAGTTTCTAGACCTCTTTAATAGACAAACACAGACATATGCAAATGTATGACAGAGTAGCCTTTCTCTGACTGTTATATCGGATAACCATGCATTATGCTGTTTGCCTCTGCCCTTATATTATGCAACATGCGTCAGGGTTGTGGGAGACATAAAAGCCCAGTGGGTTCACTTCTGACCCCTAACCATGACTCTGTCCTCTCTGCTGCATTTTTGGTGTCTTCCTGTCTCTGTGTTTTCCTGTCTATGTTTGTGCAATTATCTGCATCACTTGTGCGTCCACATGTAATCTAGAGGTTTATTTTTGAGCGTGTGAAGGTGATGGAAAAGGCAGATTTATGGGAACAGATTTATGTCATGTGTCGTCAAATTACATTATTTCACAGATGTTAACTGCCACTCGCACTATGTCCTTGTGCACAAATACAAAAACTGAGAGTTGCAGAGTCAGGTTGATTGGCACAAGCAGAATTCAACTTTGGGAGCAGAGTAATGCCTGTGAAAGCGTATGCTCTCCAGCGCTCGCCAAGCAGAAAGTCTCACGTAATTGCTACTTCGTGTGTTTTCTGCTTAGCTGTTTACAAACGGGTGCCATTTTTTGTCTTTCCCTATGTTTTGTTTCTTGCTGCCTGTACAACTCTAGTTGAATGTGTGTGCGAGGACTGATACTGTGCAAGTGGCAGTTAATATCTTTGTGTGAAATATACATATACAAATATACTTTGTTCATGAGCCTGTTTTCTCACGTTGTCAACATATGACAGAAATCTGACAGCATACAGATTTGTAAAAAGGTTGTTTTTGAGTTGAGGTTAAGTGTAGAATGAGATCCTAATGCAGATAGTTTTTTCATCAATGATGACAATGTTTTCCATTCAGGTTTTTTGCAAGTTAATAATTAATTGCACATAATTCAAAGATTCCTCAGACAAGATAACATCAGAGTCCAACACATTCAATGTCTATCCAAGATTCCTCCAGAGGGTTTCTGTGTTTTTATTTTATTTTGTTGTTCTCTTACAGTTTTAAAACTTCAGCTGTAGCGATAGGCTGCCATATGGCAACTTGTTGGTTTCACCTAGCAGGAATCATCTCAGGGGGTGCAACCAGTGCTGACTATTTTAGAGCAATTTGGCAGCAAAGCCTAATTATAATTTCTGAAAGTGTCGAACATATTTGTGGATCAGTGTCTGTCACAATAATGATACCATACCGAAATCATTGGACCATGGATTATTTTCAGCCACAAGAGACAAGCATAGAAGATCAATAACACCAGACTTTAGTCTGAGTTTTGGAAGTTGTGATAAAAGACAGTGTATGACTGAGAATTTCCACATAGCAGAAAAATGCGGTGGCTGAAATTGTGAAACCTTAAACCATACCACATAATATTAAGTTGGTATTGTTTTCTGTGTTCTTATCACGTAAGGGAGAAAGTCTAGTCCCCATAACAGTGACATATTCCTTCAAGGTTTAGATTGAGCAAATTAATACAACAGTGTGCCCCAACATAGCAACATGTACTGTATTTGTGTGTGTTCCAGGTGATGAAACTGCGTAAGTTGGCACAGCAGATTGCAAACTGTCGCCAGTGTCTGGAGCGCTCTAGTGCCCTCATCACACAAGCCGAACAGAGCCTGAAGGAGAACGACCACGCTCGATTCCTGCAGACCGCCCGAAATGTAGCCGAAAGGTGGGTGATGCAGTGTACAGACACACACGCATCTGCACACACACAGTGAAGTAGAAACCATGACGTAGTGAAAGGTAAATTTTCCGTACATTAGTGGATGATTGCAGGTAAGTTTAACTATACATCACTGCTCAGAGAGCTGTACGTATGCAACAATCCACAACAGGAACACACAGCACTCACAGACAATCAGTGGTATGCTCTTTCTTCCTGTTTGCCCTCCAATTCTGTATTTTCCCCCTGTCTTTGTGTAAGATGTGCTCTGAACCTGCATGCTGCAGAAAATACTGGTCACTTAATTTTTTCATTAGACACACAGACAAAAATCAGTATGAAATCAGTCATTCTGATTATAGCTTTCATCTCTCTTTCACTGGTATTTGCAGTCGTGTTATCCCGTCACAGGGCGAAGATACAGATTTGTTTAAGAAGATCTTAAAATCCCTGCCCTACAATAAGTTTGCCTCTATTAACTTTTTATGAAATCCAATCTTCGAGTAAGGCCGCTGGTGAAATCAGCATTATATCAAACCTCTCTACCTCCTGCGATCAGTGTCAAGCCTCTGTTGAAAATCATCTATCATTTAAAGGGATGGCTCTGCAGTTTCTCTTTCCACCTGCATACCCTCGTAATACCTTTATCCCTCCCTCTCACCACCGGCCGGCAGCTTTCTCACTCTTTCTCCCGCACAGAAAAAGGTCTCTACAAAATTGCAGCTATCGTAGCATCCTTTATGCTGCTTTTTTCCATCACTTGGCTGGGTGCTTTATTGACTGACTGGTTTCTCCTCACGGAGGAACAAAAGTCTCAAGGAGTAGCACTGGTCTGTGCTCCACTCTGCACTGCTCTGTAACCCTGCCAGCCCTGTGGTTGCTGGCTGGCTCCACATGGTTCACTGATGCTCAAAGCAGAAGTAGTTTCTACAAAGCTCTACAGACTCTTGAGTTTGTGTGTCAATGTGTGTCTGGTTTGTCTGTGTTTTAGAGGCTTAGTGATAGTTTATGATGCGGCAGGTTGCAGACATTTCTGTGAGATGGTGTAAATGTTTCTATATTGTTCTTTTTTATTCTAAATTCTATTCCCCTGTATTTCCTTCCCTCCCTCTCTCTCTTGTCTTTTTCTTGCTTACAAAATACTGTGTACCACCTCTCCCCTGTTGTCACCTTACTTCATTCACTTCTCTCCTCACATTTTTCCACCTCTTCAACACCTTTATATTTTTTCTTGCCCCCTGTCCCCTTTGTTTCCTCTCCTCGCCTCATCTTACGTCTTGGCCCTGCTCTGCTCCCTCACCTCTCCACTGTTCTCCTGACATTTCCTTTTCCTCGCTTCCATGTCCTCTAAAAGGGTTGCCATGGCGACGGCCTCCTCCCAGGTACTCATCCCTGACGTCAACCTGAATGAGGCATTTGACAACTTTGCCCTGGACTTTTCCCGAGAAAAGAAGATCCTGGAAGGACTAGATTACTTAACAGGTAAGAGCTGTGTCTGGTATACAATGAACACCTTCAGTATTTACAGTAGATAGTCCTGTTGTGAGCAAACCTTATTTATTAAAATGTATTTTATTTTTTTCAATCCAAAACAGTCCTCTCTCTCAGTGAAATTCTGACTGTCAATGTGACCATTCTGTAGGTTTTCTATAAGGTGACATTATATTCTAGAGAATGTGAGCCATTTATATAACCAGGTTTATAAATGTATACCAGCTGGTACAAACATAATGTTAGCTTTAAGGAGAAATTTACTTCATGATAATTAAAGTTAATTATGACCATTTATTTTGTATTTTATGTTTTATTTTGTTTCTGCTATGAATCATGTTGTTGTTGTTTGTAGCTCCCAACCCGCCATCCATAAGAGAGGAGCTGTGTACCGCTTCCCATGACACCATCACTGTCCACTGGACATCAGAGGATGAGTTCAGTGTCACCTCCTACGAGCTGCAGTACACCATCTACACTGGCCAGACAAATTTCATCAGTGAGTCATGTGCAAACACACACACATACACAGGTATGGTAATACAGAAGAAAAGCAATAGGCAGGGGCGATTCTATGAGTGTTTTCATCAAGGTTTGGCCAAGAGGGATCAAATGCTTTCTTGACGTGTTTATACCATAAAAGTTTAATTTAAAGGAGATGGCTGAAACATTAGATTTGTTTTTGAGATGGGAGTAAAATGTATATAAAATGTCTATTTAGATTTTTCCGAGAAACAATCCCATCCAACCTTACAGTCACCAGTAGAAACAGCTGAGTAACACGGGTAATATATGATTCAAACTGCACTCTGCATTAACATGAACGCTCCTGATATATCATTAGAGCAAAATACCTGCTTGGTAGCTTCAAAGACTAGAGATCAATGGATCTCTTTGACATCAATAGTGCTATCATCCTCATGAGTGTTTTTATCAAACGGTGTTAAATTTAAAGAGCTTTTTAAAGAGAGTTGTTAAAGTGACTATGTAACTATGTAAATTCTAATTCACAAGGAATAAACCGCTCAGAGGTTAGGCTGCTACTGTACAGCTTCACATGGTCTGGTATGGCCAGTAGCTTTATGCTGGCTAATGTTTTACTGAGTCAGTTTTCTGACTGAAACACTTTTTGTGCTACTGTCTACATTTCATTTACTAGTATTCTGTAATTTAGACTTGTATTTACATAGTCTCTTTAAGTCAATTAAAACCAGGTTCTGTTGATTCACAAATGTACATACAGTATATACAGATGAGCAAAAATATGACGGAGGGCGGATGTAAATGTAGTATTCACTATAATGAGAATTCTTCAACCACTGTAAACATTTATCTGCACCTACACACACACTCACATGCACAAGCCCACAAAGAAACACAACAGTTGCTTCGACCTCCCTGCAGTTAAAAAGAGAGATTAACTAGAGCACCACATTTCTTATTTTCATGTGTTCAATATTTTATACAAACCTTATTGCATAACCTAGATTTTCTGTCCAGTTTTAAAGTCTTCATTGTCCTCCATGCTTGTATTTATAGAGAGACAGAGCTGACTTATCAAGACTACTTGTTATAAAAATAGGACATACAGTACATCATAAGGGGATGCTTCAGAAAGATTCACTATTTAGTGTCTGGTTTTGTTTAAGCAGTGTGAAAACTGCAGAAATAAGAGATGACAATGTAAAATCACAGGCTGCCCTATTCCAAGCTCTCCCATTTCTTCCAAAATCAAAGCTATTTCGTTTTTAGTAAAGGTGTTTTCATTCAGTGCCTCTCTTGTTACATTTGCACCATATAGAGCCGCAATCATTGCAATTGTTAGAGGCAAGTCATTCGTTTTCGGATCTAATATCACCACCATGTGGCTGTCTGCGCAGCCTTTAACATTTTGGCTTCTAAATACATAACATGAGGCTCAGAACACAAACAGCCATGGTCAAATTGATCTATTCCACCAATCAAACTGTTTTTCCATCACGCCTAGAAAATGTTACATAATCATACCCATATTTTATAAGTTGAATATTTGTTTCCCCATAATTGTAACCAGATTTGGATGACACATGCACATAATACTGGACAATCCTGCAAAAACTGTCAAACATTTTGCCCACAGTTGGGGTTATGATATTCTGATAATGTACATTGTTTCAGCACTCATTGGTCTTATTCTTTTAAAATGTTGACTTATTCGGAGTACCAAACATGTGGCCCCTATTAGCTAATCAGCATCACGGCTGATTGTCTGCTACTACATAAATGAAGGGTAAGAAAGACCACTGTGGAGGAGGAGAGGAACGGGAGAACAGGTGAAAATCAGAGTGGATAATGGTTACATAGGGGAGGCAAAAATTACCTCTTACTGATATGAGGAGGTTATGATTAATGTACATAATCGTGTACATTCGTGTACATGTGCACACACACTTCTACCTCTCTTCACCCCCCCCCCCCCCCNNTTACCCCCCCCCCCTTTGATCCTTTCATCATCTCTTCTCCTCTGTGTAGCCTGACATTTCTCCATCTAACCATGCAACTCAAGAGCCCTAGCCATTTGAAACATTGGGATGCATTTCAGCTGTGATAGACTGAGTGACTCAGATATGCAGCAGTGTGCTGCCACAGAGTCCTCCGAGAATCACAGGAGAAACTGAGAAAGAGAGAAACCCATTTAGCCTGCCATGCCACTTGAGTTTTTACCATAGCATTTTTCTCTAACTTTCCAAGTGGCTAAATGCTCCCACTTGAGCGCCATCCTGTCTCTCTCTTTTTCTTTCGCCTGGCCTTCCTGAGGGGGGGGGGGTCATGCCTCACAGGATCATCCAAGCACAGCAGCAGAAAATAGAATCAGCAAGTGAAACCAAATACCATGCATAAATGTAAGCAGTGTCAAAAACCCAGACATGACTGAGTCTGCCCTGTAACTGTGTAGCTGCTACCTGTGGCCCTTTGGAAGTTACAAGTGTTATTGACCCATTTATCCATCTGCCAGCTAACACCCCCAACTATCCACTTATATTGCACATTTACTCTTCTGTAAATAGTTGTTTATCTTTCTGTGTGGTAATCACCTGTAATGGATAGGTAACCCTTTTATCCTCTACATTACACACACAAATTATGGTCTGTCAACTTTTATCTTGTGATGGTTATTCCTGTGATGAAGAAGTGAAAACAGAAAAAGCTGAGTGTAATTGCTGGTTAATTGATCTTGAAATAGAACAGGATTTCCATTTGAGCCTTCAGGCAGCCCCCCTGAGGTTGTTTTTTTCAGATGTCAACGCTGATGTAAACACTGTCCATTTATATATATCCTTGTTAATTAAGTGCTACATCTTAATCATTTAATCACACAACACTAAAATAAAACGATGGCTGTATAGTATACATCACTTTTTGCTGATACAGATTTAATCCAATGCTGAAATTGATTTTTTACTTTTTAGCATACACTTTTGCTCTTTAATGGTTTTAATGTGTATTCATTAAAATATGGACATTTTAAAGGAATAGATCAACATTTTGGGGGATGCTTGCTGGTGGAGTCTTTGTTATTGTTAATTAGTGCGTATTAGAGTGGATTTTGTTATTTTTAACAGAGCTAGGCTGGCTGTTTCCCCCATGCTACGCTAAGATAACCATCACTCGACTGTAATTTCATATTTAGCATACACACATGAGAGTGGTGTCAATGTTCTCATTTTACTCTTGCCACTGTAAGAAAGCAAGTTATTTATTCGGATAATATTTCCCGAAATGAACTTTTCCAGAAATAAACCAATATAATTTTATACATTTTGATTTTCCTAAGAGGAAATGCTGCAACTGTTTTGCATGAGAGACTAATTCACATTGCCACCGACTTGAAAAAGTCACCACTGTCCCGTGGTGAAGAATTATAATGATTATCACAGGTGAAGAGCAGTATCGCAGTAGGCGCTAAGACAGCCCACAGATTTGGGTGCAATCCCTCTTTCTCTGTATATCGACAGGGAATCTTTCAGTATCAACAGGATCCGTCTTTGTAGCAGTGTTGGATGAAATGTTAATGAAGTTTCAGTCATTCCAGGAAACTAGTCTGACAACAGTACACTTATTAAAGTTATGTAGAAACTTATACACATAAGTAACATGTACCTATGCAGGCATACACACACAGACGTGTGTTCGTCAACATTAACTCTATATTGCATCATCGAACACAAAGCCTTCCATTTCCAGGATATTTAGTTTTTTCTGTTCCCCTGTCATCTGTCCGCTTCTGAGCAAGACACACAATGACACACGCACTGTACATACACACACACACTTGATGTTTGGATGTTAGACACAAGCCGATCTATTTCCTCCCCTTTTTCCTTTCTCTTTTTACAATGGCACATTCAGTTACTGCTCCACACTTTGAAGTCAAGTCTCCAAAGCAGCTTGGCTTGTGTCAGAAAACCCACTTTCAGTGGCAAAAGTAGCGATAGCGTATTGCTGTGTACTGACCTAATTTGATTTAGCAAAAAGGAAGAGGTGCTATGGAGATCAAAAGCTTTTAAAATGGAAAGCAGCGTGAAGTCCTTCTCCCTCGTCTTTCCCCTGTATCTCTTTTTGAAAGCCCACATAGCCTCCCTAATTTCTGCAGGATGCAGCTGAAACGACAGGTGGGAGGCATAATTTTCAGAACACCAAGGGACAGCTGTCTCAGTAGAACAACGTACTTGGTCTTTGTGAGGAAATGGGATTTCATTGTTGACAGTGGATGCATATTTGTAAGACCAGGCTGAAATAAAATGCAGATGAATCTGCTGTCCGTCTCTGCATTCAGAGAAGATCATGCACATGCATAGTGTAAAGAAGGTTCTCTTGAACTCACTTTTTCTGTCTTTCTCATCTTAAAGGAAGAGAACTCCACTACAGTGTTTTCTTTGTATGAGAAAAGCTTGTGGAAGTTGGCAGATATGTAAAGACGCAGCCTTCACTCCTACTTTAAGAGTTCCCTCCCCTCATTCATTCTTAAAGCCGCCTCACTTTTAAAGGCCTTATTTGCGTCCTGTGAAGTATTTATATTTACAAGCAGACTCCCAACTATTACTTATGCATGCTGTTGCCATCTTGTTCAATAATTCACAACGCATCCTCACCAGAAGGGACAAGGCAGGCATGGCCCTGAGAGCTCTTTCCCTTTCAGGATTTTTATTTCCCTGCAATCCTGCAGGGGGGAGGAAAGACAAGACAATGGGAAGGATTGTTATTCTACCTTCAATTCTACAAACATTAACATCAGCTGGAGTGCTACTAACAAGATGCTTTGTTTGTTAGGGCAAGGGTTTATTCGAATGTGTTCAGAATTTTTGAGGTGGGTAAAAGAAATTTTAAGCCTGGTGTTTAGTGGCTCTTTGTGAGAGATGTTGGCACATCATGGTGGTATTTGTCATACTGTTATTAAATTCAAGGTTTAACTAGCAGTGGGATTAATATTCATGTGTGTTGTTACACAGACTATGTAGTGTGGTCAGAGTACTCAGCTGCTGAGAAGAAAAAAATATTTTTTCTTCACCTGTCCTGTATGACAATGCCAATAAAGTCTGTGCAAAACACACAGTGCGCTGAATGTGGCAAATTTCACACCATGTTTGTTTTTTCACACATCAACCAGAAGCATAAGTGCAGTAGCACCACACTTACGGTAGTTGACTGTCAATTTCTTTTGCAATATCTGATTAAAATAAACACAACCCTCCACAACAACTTTTCCATCTTTAATGCACACCTTTCACCTTGCATTTAAAGTTGTGTTTCAGATAACACCACTTCATAAAAACATACTGTATGTGGCGGGTCAGTTAAGGGAAAAATAGCAGTAATGTTATCGTGTAAATTCATCCCTGTTATTTTACACAAGACTAGGGCCGAAAAAGCACCCCATCGTAGTCGATTCTTTCCCCTTAGCCCTGAGCTGAGATTTCCTTTTATCCTTCACAGTCGGTTGCAGCTGAGAGACTGAAAAGACTGTGTTTAGAAGCAGGTGACTGCAGAGCTAACCCAGCCATTACTAACCCTCTACTGCAAGCCGCTTTGAATCAAAGCGCCCACCATGGGGTCATGTTGGTTATTGCCCACGTTTCCATACATTTGAACATTAAAAGCTATCACACTCTTTTGCCCTCAGGCTCTTACACACATTCACTTGTCATATTGCGAAAGCACCTTGTTCTTAATGGGTTATAGATTGGTGAAGACACAAAATCACCTGAGGGGAGCAAGCCATGATAAACTTGATGGAAAAGTAATGGGTTGGATCGGTATGTACACATAAATGTTGCATAACACCGCGGACTGTGTGATCTCTGAGCTTCTTACTGTGATGACTTTTGGAGGGAAAAAATAACACAGTGCTCTGGTCAGATTTTGGGGGTAGAATTGTTTTTTTCTCTCATGAACATCACTGAAAAGAGTCTCTGCAGGACTCACTGTAGTTCTGCTATCCTTGAAAACATCAACAGAACTTGGTTACTCATGCTGTGTGTGTGTGTGTGTGTGTGTGTGTGTGTGTGTTGCTGTGTTGGCTTCTGTGATCTGCCAGGTTTGGTACAAACTCGCAGACAGCTGGATGATCGTACCAAACATCAAGCAAAACCACTACACGGTGCACGGCTTGCAGAGTGGCACCCGTTACATCTTCTTTGTCAAGGCTATCAACCAGGCAGGAAGCCGCAACAGTGAGCCAGCCCGCCTCAAAACTAACAGTAAGTGAAGGCACATGTGACACCTCTGCCTGCTTTTCTATGAATATTTACAAGCTTTGTTAACTTTGTTTTTGATATTGAATGCAATTTAAAATGTTCTTCTTTCAGTATCATTTGTGCAACTTAACTTACGGGGTGTCATTGTTCAAAGCGTTTCTCAAGGGGTTAGTCTTTCATTTAAAAATGAGTAAAGGATAAGAAGCAGATTTAGAACTCTTTGAAATTAGATTTTGATTAGTAGAAAAATCTGTATGCATTGCCTTTGGTTTCCAGCACTGACTGTTAAAGTTTCTGTCCAGAAGGCAACAAGGTGTGTATGAAAGGAAGACACAAGCGCCTGAAGTGCTGTTACAAACACTCAAAAACATCTCATTGCATGTTACATTAGAGCTTCCCTGATTTGAGTCAGAGTTAAAAAAATATAACATTCAGAAATGTATCACGTTGGACCTTTTCTTTTTAGATATATGCTTTACAGAAGGTGTGGTGTCATTGTACACTGTGTGATGTACTGAATCAGGAAGCTGTTTGACACTTGCATCGCCCATAATGAGAACAGAGAGTCTGGAAATGGACACACTTTCTTGTCAAAGACTTAAATAGTCCCAAAAAAGTATTTGAACCTTTTTATGGCCAAAAAAGTAGAATTTCAGCAACACAGTCACATATCCAGCTTCACTTGCATGTCAATGAATGTTATCTTAAGTATATTGTTACTAGTCAGGTTGCTTAAGGTATCAGACAGGGGATGTAGTAAAAGATTTCTCCTATTATTTAGTTTTACCCATTAAGCTTACCAGAATATACTATTGCAAATACAAATTTTAGCAACATTAGCTTACCATAAACTTTGGCATAACCCATGTTTCAACCATGCTCAGAGTATGGATAATGCCTCAATGGCTTAAATCTCATAATATGAGGAAGTTTCAGTGCAGAGTTCAGTAAACAGAACATATAAGAGCTTCTTCTTTCTTTATTTGCCTCTTATACACATCTGTCATCTGTTGTACAAAAGCTTCACTGTTAGACTCACTTGTACTACGGCAGATGTTATAGGAATTGAACCTGCACCTCTCCAAATACCAGCACCTCTGTTGCTTGGCTTTTAGAGAACTCCATGCTGTTTGCCCCCGACTGAAAAGACTAGTTTTTGTGTTAGTGGAGAATGTTAATTGGTAGCATTACTTTCCCCTTTTATCACTCACTTCTCTTTTTCTGTTAGTGTTTTTGGTCTGTTCATATTCCCTTTTCTCTCTCCCTAAAGTTGAACTCTCTGCTGCAGAATCTCGTCCTGTTCCTGAACTCTGTTTTTCTTTTGTATGCTTCTCCTTCCCTGTAACAGTAAACAGTAAATAAAACTTGAGAAAGCAACTAAATAAAGCAAAAGGTGACCAAAATGTGAGTAAATAAACATCAAACCTGGTTAGGGCATGTGAGGTTACAGTGAGCTCAGTATGCATATTAACAAAGAATACTTACTGTAAAGAGAGAGACTGTAAAGAGAGGTTAGATCACAGTCTAATTTGTGAATCTAAATATTCTTCTCCAGGATCTCAGCCTCAGCTGTGGCATATAACAGGTTAAAAACCTCAGCGATACAACTAATTTAGGATATGCCTCGAGGGGGCTCAATAAAATTTTAAAATCAGTCTTAAATTGCAGCAGTAGTGCGGTGACTAAAATGGAGTCGATATGCCAACTCCTCTTAGCTGCTGTCAGGAGTCTGGCTGTGGCATTTAGGATTAGCTGTAATCTGGATACAGTGCTGGGTGAAATAGGTGTGTGGGAAACTGCAGCAGTCAGGGGATGATGTCTCTTTCTCTGACACAAATATACACCCTTTCTCTCTCACTTTAGTGTTTCTCTTGCTCACAGACGCAGGGGGCAGGTTCAGGGGTGGCACCAGTTCCTACAATCTGATTTGCTACTCTGCTGAATCTGAAGATCTGAGAAAACATTTCATTAGATGTAAAATTAGTGGACGTCCCCTAGTGCGGGATGAGTCATGTGTAGCGCAAGACATAGAAACACTGAACTTTTTTTTTTTCATGGTGACTGCTGGGACAAGCCTGCACAGCTGCTGATGAACTTACTGCTTTGTTGGATGAAATTTGAGTTGGTATTAAACTGTTTAAGGATCCGTTTGTTAAAGTTGGGATCTACAGTGTAGACTTCACTCTCTTGAAATGATGTTGTTTTTCTTAGTGTATATTTTTATTAGATTTTGGGATTAGGTTTTCGCTTTGAGTTAACAGCAAGATGTAGCATAAAAAGTGCCATTTCTGATGGGAATGTACTCTCCTTAACTAACTTCCAAACTAATAGGACACATAGGCATACTTTGGAGTTTGTCCCCTTTTTATGTTCATCAATTAAATATATTTTATAGCTAATCATGTTAAGGATCCTATAAAGGGAGCTCTACCCCCGCTCCACCTGTCCCACCCCTGTATTTCATATTTCCATCTGGCACTCTCTGAAGTGAACCCTTTATCCATCAAATATCATTAGTCCCTCTCATCTGAATCTCTGCCCTCTCCTGCCCCCTTAAGTCAAAATCTGCTAGACACACTCTGCCTGTGGGACATGGAGCATGTCACTACTTCAACTCTTTTCTTATGGCATTAGAGTGGATTACTGCCTCAGTGTGATGTGGGCACGACATGCAGCCGGGGAGCGTTTGGAGGTGAAGTGCAGGGTATCTGGAGGTGGCAGTCAGCTCGCTGTCACTGATGCTCATGACTTGTACTGGGCACAATATAAATAACACTCAGTAGCACTTCAGTTATAATGTCCCCCCCTTGACACAGATAAGTGGGATGAGCGTGTATAGGTGTTATTTTTCATCGTCAATCCCTCTTCCGTTATGTCTCTCAATTCAGTTAGGTTCATTGAAGCTTCATTGCCTTTATTGACATTTAGATTTTAAGAAATAGGTTACCAAAGCATAAACTGTACATACACATTATTTAAATTGATGAAAAATTGTTATGTAGATTACATAAAATTAAAGAACTATTAAGTGATAAACACTGATTATGACATAAGGTGGTTAAGAAAAGTATTATGGGCAGTAGGTGAAAAAAATCTACTTATGTGTATGTACCATGTCTTGTAGCATTTCTTCTTAGCTGTACAACCAGTCTGATTGTAGAATTAATTTCATACCACAAGGTCCGTATATATATGTTTTATAAATTGCACATGTATAAAAATATCTGAACCATACCAAAACTCAATATAGAGGAAATCATTATGAGCTGGAATTTGAAAGTGGTTGAATTTTGTGGAAACCGTCACAGCAACCCTAGAGATTACGTTTATATACTACTAGCAGTTTGAAAGGATGGTACAGTAAGAATTCTTTTTTTTATATCAACCTAATGAGGAAATGTTGTTAATTAGGGTTTTACGGTTTCTGGCAAAGTCACTAAAAATGTTCACTGACAAAGTATTTTATCAGTTTTCCCTACAATATCTGCCCATGGCAACTAATGTGTTACAAAACTTTTTTTATGGTTATGTTTCTAACTGAAAGCATTTGGTTGATGATAGGAGAACATTTTAGTTTGGTTCTCAGGATGCCATACGCCTGCACTCTTTACAACCACTATTGGCCCCGACCTCCTCCCTATGTGTTTGGTACCAAAATGTAGCACTCACAAAAAATATTGCCTGTGAACATAATCTGGGCAGCGATTTTATTTCCCAACATAATGTAATTGGTAAAAATGAATATGTATTATAGGAGTGTAATTTCTAGGAGACAAGCTTGGTCAGCAGAAATCTATCCAACTGCACAGCAACCTGAAATTCAAAACCAAATAAAATCATCTGTCCTCTACCCATTGCCATCCATGTTAGTCATTACAGTACAGCTTATTAGCACAGTACTGTATGTAATTAGCGCAGTATAATGCTCTCAGATGATCCCCTCCTCTCCTCTTCCACTCCCACTTTCTGTCATTCCTGTTCTCTGGCAGGCGGCGCCATCATGGGGGAAAGCTTGTCCACCCACAGCCAAGTTTGGTTGAGATTCTGAGCCTGTGATTGGCAAGCAGCATTTCTATCTGCTGCAATAGTTTAGACAAGCCATCAAAATAACAACAAAACATTCAATATTTTTATCCACGATTGAGGTTTTCTGTTTTCATCATGGCACCTGCTTCATATGTGTTTGTGCATGCGTCTGTCAGTCTGTTCATACGTCTTTGTCCCTTTTTCTTTCTCTTATCTCCCACTCTCTCCTCTGTCTTTTTCTCAGAGGAGTTGGTATTCAGATTAAAGTGCCTCACTTATCTGCTCATGTGAAGCTGAGCAGTGTTGTTGGATTAAAATGGGTCACAACAAAACTGATCACAAATATCTCACTTTGACAGGCTTATTAGGGTTCTCTCAAGACTCCGCTGCTGTACGAGCTCTAATAGCAACCTTTTGGTACTAGGAAACCACAAGTTCTTTCCTTGCACTTGAAGTCTCTCTTTCTGTCTGTAGTTAGATTGGAGGGTTTAGCTGTCACATTTTTTAAGATGAGAGGCTCTGGAAGCTTTTAGCTTAAGCTCATCATATTTCAGGAAGAGGCTTGCAAAGCAAAGAACACAGTGACAAGTCAAACAGATACTGGAAAGGCATGCATCACAACCCTGTCTGCTCCAAAGAGTAATTCCTAGTACACCCAAATTGACGCATTGCACGTGTAAAACTAACTTCAACACATCAAATTGTGACACCATAAATGCAAGCACAGGGGGTGTATTGCCAATCACTTTTTTCAACCATTTAATGTAAATTGCTGCACTGCATTTCACAGCATAAATCTGTTTCTCTATTTAATTCATTGGAGAGAGCTTCCGGGTCTGTAAAGTGAAGCCAACGTGGAAGTGTCTTAAAACCAGCATTCTATGTAATGTCCAGCAGGGGGAGCTCCATTGGCTGCAATAAAAAACATTACCATGCACTCTAATTGAGAAATAATCTGACTTCTCACTTAATTTATT